CACACACACACACACACACACACACACACATGGGCTCTTCACTCAGGACACTAAAGCACAGTCGTCCTCAGGAAGAGGACTTGTGCTATTTCACAATAATTACAAACAAAAGGACCAAATTAATTATTTTGTAAAGGAAACACATCGAATCATTTAACCTTTTACTACCTGGAATAACTGACAAGATTATTCTGAAGAAAAAGAAGACACGCAGGATTTATGCTTTAATGGACCAATAGAAAAGAGACTGAGGAATATTCTGAAATGGAGAGATTTTATTTAGGCTTTTTATGATGTTTTCTGTGATGTTCTGTAAGTGTCTGATGGATTTGAAGAGTATGTTGTTAGGAAGAATCCCACACAAATTGTTAAGAATATTTTCGGGTCAGAATTTTATTGAAGCTTGTTTCTGCCACAGCTGTGAGATTATATCTCATAATTCAGCATTAATGTCTCACAATTCTGAGTTTATATTATGCAATTTTGCATTTATATCTTGCAATTCTGCACTTATATCTCACATTGTTTATATCTCGTTATTCTGCGTTTATATCGCAATTCTGAGTTTATATCGCACAATTCTTATTATTTTGCACAATTCTGAGTTTATATCTCAAAATTCTGCATGTATATCATGCAATTCTGTTTATTTTGCACAATTCAGATTTTTATTTCTCACAATTGAAATTGTCAAAATGACTTTTTTTTTTATCTCGAGGAAACAAGCTTCCATCGACTTCACTGAAATTAAAATAAAAAATGATATTTCACATTAAGAAAATTAAACAAACAAAACAATCATGTAATTGAGCAATTGGGAATTACAGTACATTATCCAGATGCATTATGGTAGTGCAAGTTTTCATATCTAAGAATATGCTTAATTTTCTTCAGGTACAGTGTAGTTTATTTTTTATTTTTTCTATTATCAAGGTGATATGTGTCCTAGATGTATCTTCATGAGATATTAATTTTTTATTTGGAAGATGTTGATGTATTTTTTGCATTCTGCATGTTCAAATATGGCATTTTTAACACCTACTGTTTTTAAACGTGGTCCGTTATTTGTCTTTTCACTAGTCTTTGCTCACCAGAAGTCTCTGAGGAAACACATTGCATGTTAATAAATGAGGAGAAGCGCTGGACTCTTTGTTAACCTTTAAAAACTGATGCACACTCCCGGTTCTTACGGCGTACTGTTGCATGGATGGTGAACGCTGCCTTAACACGTGGCTGGAGTGTAAATAGTGCCTGAATGCTGGGTCACAGAAGAGCGTTCACATCCTGAGAAACTGCAGAAAAAGGGAAGCTCAAGCACATTTGTTCATGTTCAGTGTGTTTCCTAATGATATGATTGATGTGTGTGTTGATATTCATCATATGTTGTGTGTCTGTCAACCAAGAGTATATTATATATATACTGTATATACATATCAAAAAACTAAAAAAATGTTTTCGTTTTAAACCAATAACCTGTTTGCACAAACTGTATTTTATGATGACACAAATACAGTAATTAAAAGTCATAAATATGAAAAAACAAATGCATTACTGTGGATCCTGATCATGTGACACATGGACTTGAAACTTTACTTTTCTAGTTAAATACAAAAGTGTTTTTCACAATTTTCATGTCTATATAATCTAAACCTTCGTAAACACAGTAAAACCAATGGAGTGTATTAATCATTTAATAAGATAAATCAAATGTCAATTTGGGAAGATATTTTATTTTGCACGGTACAGTAGCGGTTGCTAACTGCGGTAACTGATGGTTAATTAATTATTTCGGAAAGTTATGAAATATATACAAAAAGATGGAGATAAAAAAATGTGCATTTAGAAATGGCTGTTAGGAAGTTTTCTGGAATAATCTGTTCATCCCGCGTTAGCGTTGCTAGCATAACGTTAGTTAGCCAAACGTCAGTTACCAAAGAATTTATTTACAGATCACTAACAGGTTTTTTTTGTCATATATTTGTGATATTTACATATAATAAAGTGATAAACAATGACTGTTTGTAAATATTCCATCAAATAATGAAGGAAAACTGTTATGGTTACCTCCTCTTCAGGCAAACATTTAATTTCACAAGTGAATATTTGTCGTCAGGTGAAACTTTCTAGTTAAACTGATTAATACTCTACTAAGTTACATATATGAAAAATGAACGCTGTAAAGTTGCTTAACATATGCTTTAATGTTTTAAAAGATTCCTTACAGTCATTGGATAAATAAGCTGCACAAACTGCAGGCCTTGGAGAATATGAAGCTGATTATGCCGACATACACCCTCAGGTAGGCACATTTCTGACAGCTCATGGCTTAATTGTCTTCATGGCCTGAGAGTTTCACCAGAGCAGGTATTGCAGCTGTGTCATCCTCCAACAATACAATCAGGAGGAATTCCACTGGAACATCAACACCACCTGACGAGGTCGAGCACAAGACCCTGAACCGTATTTCACTTCAATAATATCACATAGGTACACCAAATATTCTTCATGGCTTTTTACATTGATAATCACATTAAACGTCGCGTTAATACATCACCCTATATACTTAAACATTGCATGATTAAATAATCGCATAGCCATATAAGTTGACATACAGCGGCCCCGAGAATTATGTTCACATTCAAGTCACACTGCATGAACATCATTCCTTTTGATTATTATCTTGGCACGTGCACAAAACACAATGTGTTTAAAAAAAACATTAGTTGGTGTTCACAGTTTTTGTTTATTTGCCGGGAAAACATTAAGTGGTGTGTCTACATCTCCAGTACAGAAATATGGGAACACCCTCTCTGGAAATCCACCCGTGTAGGTGCACAAAATTCTGTTTCTGAAGGGTTCAGTGAATATCAGCTCTCCTTCATCATAGTCCAGCTGCAGTCGGATGATATTTGGCCTTTCATTGCTATCAATATCACTGAAAGGTTTATTTCCTCTCTTGTATGTACCGTTCACGTAACGTAATCCTCCCTCAAGGATGTCATATTACAGTGAATAACAACCAGGAAATGTTCACATAGTGTGGCTGCACCTGCTTAGCATGAAATCTTACTTAAATTAGAGCATACATTTTATATTTAGGGATTAGCAACTACTAGTTAGTTTGTAACTGACTTGCATGCTTCATTTGGTTGAATGTACACTCATAATTTCAGAATGCAGTGACAACTCTTACACTGATACATATGTGTAGTGCACCGATATTTAGTGATTATTTACTGTCCATGTATGATAGAAGCAGACAAATGTCCCAAACTATCATTTTAATGTCAGCAAAAGCCACAGTGACCACGGAGTAGGAGAAAAGATCTGAGTTGTGTAAAATTGTCACTTGATGGCAGTTGCCACTGGTAGGTTTGCCGAGCCCAAGATGGTTTGTTTTTCTGTTTCCAGATGCACTGATGTGATTGTGTGTTGGCGTGTTTTCAGCTGACAACACCGTGATGCAGTTTGGACGTGTGGCGGAGGACATCTTCACTCTGGGCTATTACTCAGAATTGCAAGAAAAAAGTATGAGTATCATCAGAGCAGGTGTTGCAGGTATGTGCAATCCTTAGTATTGTCAATATCAGAAAGGGGGAAATGCCACCAGTTTGAGGTTGAGCCCATTACTTTGGACCAATCAGCCTGGCAGAGGTGACATCACTACACTGTATTTTACTTGAAATTTGGTACACCAAATAGTCTTTATTGCTTTTTACATTAATAATCACATTAAAATCTGCCTTATTAATGCATCATCATTTATATGGAAACATTGCATGATTAAATAATCACATTACTGGACATACAGTGGCACCAAAAAGTATTTGGACAAAAAATGTCATGTTAGTTTTGGGTTAGATGTTTTGTTTATTTGCTGGGAAAAGACTCAGTGGTGAGTCCGGATCTCCAGTATTGAAATATGGGAACACCCTCTCTGGAAATCCACCTGTGTAGGTGCACAAACTACTATTTCTGAAGGGTTCAATGAATCTCAGCTCTCCTTTGTCAAAGTCCAGCTGCAGTCTGATGACATTTGGCCTCTCATTGCTATCAAAATCGCTGATAGGTTTTGTCCCTTTCTTGTATTTACCATCTACATTACGAAAACACCAGAAACGATTTTTTGGATCCATTTTGCAAAGTTTTTTGCGGTTCACCATTTCCCCCATCACTCCTAGTGTCCAGTTATTGCTATCTCCCACCTCTACGTCCCAGCAGTGCACACCTGAGCTGAAGCCCTGTGAGGCCAGTACCCCCTCCTGCAGCCTTTTTGGGTTATCAGACACATGCAGTTTCTCTTCTACATACTCAACACTGGTGTAATCCTCTGACACTTGCAGTTTATTGGAGGCTGTGTCTGGATCCAGAGTCACAGGAGCTGTAAACACAGATGACTGTAAACTACAGAGCTTTTAAACAGTCAGTCCCAATACACTACTACCCATGTGTTTGTGTTTTGTTAGGTATGTGGGTAGGTAAATGAATGAATAGGGGAAGTTGTGGTCTAATGGTTAGGGAGTTGGACTTTGAGCAAGGCACCGAACCCCCAACTGCTCCCCGGGCACTGCAGCAAAATTGCTGCCCATTGCTCTGGGTGTGTGTTCAGTCTGTGTGTTTGCTCACTACTCACTGCTGTGTGTGTGCACTTGGATGGGTTAAATGCAGAGCACAGAGTTCGAGTATGGGACACTCACATTTACTCACCTTCATGTCTTTCCAAACCTGTATGCTGTTATTTTTTTCTGTTCCACCCAATAAAAGTGGATGGTGATGACCAATGGCTTCGTCCAAAAAGACCAAAAAACCCCAATTGTTTTATGGTACTTTAGGTCCATTTCATGGCATGTCAGAATAGGCATTAATTACAAGAGTCCAACATGTAAATAGCATTTACGTCATTGTAGAAGTCATAATCACAACTTTCTTAGAGCTCTGACCACTACAATGCCACCTGGTTATACACTCAAAATGACAGTGGCTTCAGCAGTAAAACGTAGTTAATCAGTGATTTCGTAATATATTCAACTGATAAATTCGAGTCCAAGGTTGTGAACAGCTCCAAGTTGAATGTCACGTGTTATCATTTCGTAATTATAGTAATTACAACATGCCCATGAACGCAACATTCTATGGTGTTTTTGGTCCATGTTGGACAGCCTCTGGTTATCGTGAACTGTATGGAAAAGAGCTGAATGATGTTTTCCATTTGTGTTCCATGGGAAAAAAATTACAGCATACAATCTAAGCAGATGCAATTACTTACGCTGTTCCACAAGGTTCTGCATTCTGGCCCATGTGGTGAAGATCACTGTCTGAATGGGATACTGCTGATATTGCTGTAATACAGGGGTCCTGTTTGGTACTGATGGGCATTTGAGTCTGTTACATAAACAATTAGATATTTGGTGCTCAAAAGGTAAAATGGATTGCAGTTATTTAAAAAATGTTACTTGTGAAAGACTCACCTTTTTAATGTATCGCTGTAATTCTGAATGTGAAAAAAATAAAAGAGCAATTAGCGCTCAGTCATGTGGTTGAGCAAACATCATAAATATCGATTATCAGACATGCTTGCTGCAGATTAGAGCTCTCTGCTGGACTTTTGGTCCCTGGGATCACATTAAGTGTTTACTCTGTCTGTACCTGGAGGAATGAGATGTTTTCAGCTTCCATATCCTGCCAGAAGGCTGCCATCCTCTCAGACAGATCTGATATTGGTTTGGACAACTCCTCTAGTCTGGCCTTGAGTTTCTCATCTTTAATTTCCATTTCTTTACGCAGCGATCTGATCTGTTTCTTCTCTTCCTCAGTAAGAAACTGATGGAGCTTCTCAAATTTCTTCTTGATTTGGTTTTCTGTTATACTGGTGTGTATCTAAAATGGTTTAAGAAGATAAAAAGAGAGGAGGTGTCTAAAATTGTCAATAGATGGCAGCATGCATCCATGTAATTTGACCTTATCTTAGGACATTGCAAGGCATTTCAAATCATTTCACATGTGATTTTCTTTAAAAGAAAATCAAAAACCCACAAGTGGTTCCCGAACAACCACAATTTTTTGAAAGAAGTTCATTGTCGCTAAAAGCTGTGTGCGTTCATGAGTGTGTTTCCTTTTATTTCATTAGCTTGTTTTTCTCCAGCATATGTCCTACAGCTAAAGGAAGATCAGTTCATTGCGTGGCACTTATTAATCACAGTGGGGTCCTGCAGCTGTCATATGCATAAAAGGATGGTTCAGAATGTACTTTATGGTGCTTTGTAGTCATTTTTTTGCATCTTGGGAGAATATGATCTGTTGTATGTAAAATAACCATGTGAAAATTCTCCTTTTTTACTTTATTCCTCAGGAAAAAAGCATACAACCACAGCATACAGGTTTGGAATGATGAGGGTGAGTAAATAATGATCATTTTCTTTATTATGTCAACGTTTCCTTTAATAAACAGAAAAAACGGGAGACGCAGAGAGATATATCACACAAGCAAGAGTATTTGACAGCCAGAAAGACAGATCGGAGGCAGGAGCTGTGATATTTGAGGGGCCCAGGTGTTTCTGTCTTCATTCTGTTATGTGTGCTCATCTCCCAGGGCTCTTCTGCACTGTCTGCGGCGCTTCATCCATGTGGGACGCGACGCTGCATCAAATCCTCTACAATGCTGGCACAATTTGTTTGTTCACCATTATTGTCAATGTCAGTTTTCCTCCTCTCTTTCACACTGTCTCTCTCTCAAACAATCCTTACATCAGAATTGGCAAAACCTCTGTCCGAACTGCAGTCCAGCCAAACACTGCAAGAGCTTTCAGTCAAAGGTAAAATGCTCTTGGTTCTCTATATGGTACATGTGGAATTGTCATTTTCCATAAAAAGATGTTTTTCACCTTGATCCTTATCTGTTAAAGGAACAGGAAGAGTCACTCTTCAAAATAAAGGTTAAAAAACGAGGGGTTTTGCAGCAAGACCATAGAAGAACCATTTTTGGGTTCCATAAAAAAGTTTTCAGTGAAATCCACACCACTCCATCAGTTAACATCTGGAGAAGACAAAATAAACAAATCCATCATTAAGATGTTTTCAACTTCAAACCAATGCTTCCGGCTAAAAAAGTTCTCTAAACATATTATCGCTTTCTACAGTGAAAAAGCAGATATCTCTCCTGAATCAGGAGAGAAATCTGCACAGATCAAGCACCGTTTACAAGCCAAAACAGCTCTAAACAAATATGTGTGTGGATTTTAATGTGAGGGACATCAGGAGATTTTTTCACTGGAGGAAGCATTTTTATGGATTATGAGTTGAATTTTAGCCAGAAGCAATGTTTTGAAAATCAAACGTCTTAATGATCGATTTGTTTCTTACAAACATGCAGATATTGGCTTTTCAAGATGTTAATTGATGGACTGGAGTGGTGTGGATTATTGTGATGTTTTTATCAGCTGTTTGGACTCTCATTCTGACGGCACCCATTCACTGCAGAGCATCCATTGCAGAGCAAGTCATGCAATGCTACATTTCTCCAAATCTGATGAAGAAACAAACTCATCTACATCTTGAATGGCCTGAGGGTGATTACATTTTTAGCAAATTTCCGTTTTTGCATGAACTATTTCTTTAATGCCTCACTTGTTTTTCCTAGACAGCAATGAAATCTATCAGCAGCTGAGTGGGGAATAACATGCATTGATGAAGTGCTCAAAATATGACCAGGAACATGTCAAACATGCAACTTGAGCAATATAGTTATCCTCTGGTGGATGTTATATGGATTTGGCTTCAGGGATTGAGGACCAAAGCCATGAGATGGCCAGTGTTCAAGCTGCAGAATCGTGCTTTTTAAAGGTGTAACATCAATTCAGAAAAACAGATGACAGCAGCGCAATTGAGCCGAATCGCTCACCACTGCAATCTTACCTGTCTTTAAAAAAACGCTTGTAGGTTGTGTCCGGGAGATTAATTTGTACCTGGAAATGTCTCGCATTGTTTTGTTTTCTTCCAGGGCAATATAGAGAAACGCATGTTCTGTGCTGGCGGGATGGAGAAACGAACCGGATCTCTGGGAGCACATGGAGATTGTGTTCCAGAGCTCAAGCTCACTGCGATCTGCAGCAGTCAGCTGCTACTGTAGAGCTGTCAGTCTGGAGACGGGACACACGCACACAATCAGGTACAGAGTGATGAATTTCAACATCGAAGCGGACACAAAAACACACTCGCACAAACACGTACACATGCAATTATACTTAAAGCTGCTCTAAGCAATTTCTGTGCCACTGGTGGCACCAAACCACACGGCAAAGTAACTTGATTCTTCTTATGTTTTTCTGAAGCAAATTGCTTGCAGGCACAAGTGAAAAAGCTCCATGCATGTCTCTGTAGATATGGCTCGGGTGCATGCAAGTATGAGATTTTTTTCACTTACATTTATCCGCCAAGTGAAAATGGTTAGACTCGTCGTTTAGAAAAGTGATAACACACAAGCCACATGATATTCATGCTTAAATGGTGCAGAACGAGTACAAAAGTTGAATTTCAAGCAGTGATAATAATCAGAAATATTTCTTGAGCAGCAAATCAGCATATTAGGATGATTTCTGAAGATCATGTGACACTGAAGACTGGAGGAATGATGCTGAAAATACAGCTGCGCATCACAGAAATAAATTACAATTTCAAATATATTCAAATAGAAAATTGTTGTTTTAAATTCTAAAAATGTTTCAAAATTTTTACTGTATTCTTAATCAAATAAATGCAGCCTTGGTGAGCAGAAGAGACTTCTTTCATAGATATTAAAAATGTAAATATTCTAAACTTTTGCCAAGTACGTTATAATTTTAAAACAGGAAATTACGACTTTGAGTCAAATGGAACACAATGTCCACAATTGAAATTGCTTGCATGACTCAAAGTAATCTCCCACAATGCATTTAGAGGGACACGTTTACCTTTTCTGTTCAAGCAGTGTTAGTCCGCATATGAGAACAGAGAGTTCCTGAATGTGTCTTTGTGCCGTGTGAAGATGGCTGTGTAAACTGTGTGTTTGAGGATCACACTGCAGTGCAGGGTGATGAATGGAGGGATGGAGGAAATTCGTTGCTCAGGTAACCAGACGGCCGCTGTTTCCCCGTGCGTGGGTAGATATAGACACGATCTGCTGGGATGCAAAGCAGGAATGCCTCATCTAGCAATTACTGCGCGCAGCACGGAGCAGCAGGCCATAGGAACTTTATTAAAGTTACACAAATGTCTCATATTTCTCTCGGTAGACCAGACTCATTCTCTCTGTGGATCAAATTCATCTCTCATCTTAAACCCAGCCATTTAAAAACTGAAATAACCTATTAACTCCTCTCTGTAAGTCGTTTAAGATATTGGTTGAGTCTCTTAAAGGAATGCTGGATCATGTTTCACTCTTGAAAGAAAAAGGAAAAAATAAATGTATAAGAAGTTAGGATTCGCAGAAAGAAAATGAAGCCTATTATTCATATTATAAATTAAGCACCCTCCCTCCTGCAAAATCTTATTATTATTAAGGGCAGTCACAAAATTTAAATTAATTATTTTTAATTAAATAAATTCACCAAAAATGACAACAAATGTACTTTACTGTTTATATTTATATATATATACAGTATATATATATATATAACATTTCTGTGTGTGTGTGCATATATATGAATATAATAATATATTACTAGTAAATGTAATATGTCTATATAATTTAATATCATATAAATAAATTAGAATAATTATATGTAATATAATTTAAATTTTATTGAAATATGTGAATATTAAATACTTAATTTTAAAATATCTACAAATATTTATTCTTTTTTAATTACTGGAGTGAGAATTGGATATATATACAGTATATATCATTTATATATCCAATTCTTTTTCGTTTCTGTTGTTTTTTCTTTTTCTTTTGATTTTGGTGTAAAGTATTTCTCAAGCTTTCATCACACCTGGAACGGTTTGTATTTTTATTTTCCAATATTTGTTTATACTGGGAAGAGAAATATCAAATGACCCAGATTATTTTCAGCAAATATGTTGCGGTTTAGATGACACAGCGATTACAGAATGATGAGTGTTTATAATCCACTTTCCTACATGATGTAACATGGTTTTATTATTCAGGAGATTAGAAACCGAGTAAGAAGTGTTAGTTAATATCCTCCTCTGGCTGTCATGACTGATGTGTCTTTATTCGTCTTAATAGATTTGACAGGAAGCAAATCATCCCTGCGATTCCCTTCTTAATATATGAGAGAAAGAGGAAGGGGAAACCTTTTCCAGTAAGCACTCATTGATCGGCGGTTGGTTCGATACTCGGCGACCCGCTGCGTTTGATTGTGATAAGCAGTGGTGTATGTGCGTTTAGCAGACAGGAAGTGGGTGGGTTAATCGTTTGAGTCATGCTGGTGGTTGGTCTGTGGCTATAAGGTGCTTTATTGAGTTTGTTGAATCATTGACTCTTGATTTTACAGGTTGGCATGACCGTATATTTCACGCAGCATGAACTGATGAAGGTGAACTTGATAAATGAAGGCTAAAAACATCCGTTATCTCTTGCACGCGTACTAATGAATAAAAGATGTAGATATATGTGGTGCCAAAATGTTGTTGCAATTGAATACATTTCTCTAATGATTCATTTATTGACAAGAAACTAGACTTCTCAATCAATGCATTTGAGAAAATAAACTATGCTTGTGCGTGCACGTAATTGCGTGCATCTTTAGCGTTTCGCATGCATTTGTGTTTCCGAAAGCGGAGATGAACCTCTGATAATGGAGAGACTAGAATATTCTCCAGCAATAATATTCTTACGGCTTTAATGAAATAAAAGAGCAACTTTCTGTTGACTTTGCTAATATATAACCGAATTAAATGAAATCCTCCTCCTCCTCATTAAATAACTCATTTGGGAGGAAAGATCATGTTATTGAGTTCCAATGTCAGGCTTGGGGTTGCCATGGAAATTAATGCACAATCCGTGTGCATCTAAGTATTTAAATTTATAAGAGCTAATATATTCTGATTAATAATGCAGGCGATTCATAATGAGCTCT